AAAGAGAGAAACATGAGCAGACAATCTCTGCACTAACAAGTGTCGTTAACGATTTACGTTAAGAGTTAAGTTATAAAGAACACATCATAATGAACTGACAAGCACTGCACGGTGAATCAAACGTAGATCATGATAAACACGTCACGGAGGAAAATGTGGTAATCAAAGTTCCGAAAGTACTGCGAGACTACCCGAATGAGCAACAAATCATCAACTTAAACTCAATTAATGACATTGTGCAATCAGCAAGGCGCAGCTCTCCCAATGTACATATCACAACCAATCAAAACCCGTGTGACGTTTCACCTCCCTCTTACGCAGGAGTTGCCAAAAAAAAATCAGCGATAAGCGATTTCACCCAAAAGTTATGTCTGTCGCGCTGAATGATACAACAAACGTCAAGTTAGATAGACCACACCGAAATGTCACTTGTTTTGGATACAACACACAGCAACAGCTTGAGTCTTCTGATGAACACTCAGCAACATTTCAATTTTTTGCGCGTGAAACGCAAACCGCGAAAGAAATAGCTCCTCATGTCAAGAATAATTGCGGTTGCACCAGAGGACGATTTCAATTCTATTGTTGCATACACAGCAAACGGTGGAATAGAAGTGACATACATGAGAATTATAAAATTTTGGGACGGTGATGAACCAACATTTACGGCTAGACTTAATGTGCGTGAACAGGACTTTGAGCAGGAGATAGATCCTCTTTTTGGCCTGATCATGTGCTGGCACGCGAGTGGCAACACCGCGATCGTTTTGATGGTCCATCGCGTCCTTGCAGGTCCATCGCGTCCTAGTAAGCTATCTTTATGTAGTTGAAAGGAACTTATTTATTACGGATATGTATATTATTTTTTACAGGGTATAATGTACGACACTTCGATGTTATCTAAACTTCTAAATGACACGGACATTGCTATAACTAATGAGCATTGGCTCCTTCCTGAACAAATACATGTTCGTAATAGCATTGATCGCAATTTCAAAGCATATGGTGTTTGTGATAGTCGTATAACATATTATCCTGAAATTTGAACATGTATACGTGGCTTTGGTTTCTCGCTATGATGTGGAGAAAAAGTTTAAATGGATCGCCTTTACAGCACGAAGGAAGGATAGGATAATATGTTGTTCGGATGAGCTTCGCAATAAATCGCACATGTTCGTAATAGGAGTGTTTATGCCCTCTGCAAACGTTTCTCTACAGGCATATACAGATACTCTTAGATGTGTAGATGACCTCTATGATCGCTACTCAGGCCAAGGACATGTTATTCTTCTTGATGACTTAAATGCCCAAATTGACAAATCTTTCGGATGCAAAAATCATCATACGGCTATTGTGAGGGGACGTATATTGCAGAACTTTATATGTGAATGAAACTCTATGAACTCTCAAGCAGCATCGGCTAATGGTGATACGTCAACCTTTATCTCTTAAGACGGTCACGAGTCACTTATTGGGCATATACTCATTGATAATTGCAAAACTGGCCGCGTGTGGGATTGCACCATTCTAGAGGACCACTACTTAAACGTTTCTGACCATCTACCTGTACGTTTGTGTTACTGTATTCCAGATGTCATGCGTTAATACGAATGTAGTGTATACTCCGTTAACTGGAAAAAGTGTTCGTCGAAACAAAGTTCAAAGTATGAAAAAAGTGTCGGCCAGAAAATCAAGCAGAGAGATGATCTCCGTTCAGTAACGAAAGATATTCACAGTCGTGAAGCGAAGTTAAAAATTATTGTTAATATCAAGCGCGAGGCTGCGCTTGAAACGCTCTCAATGACACAACTTATGCCATACCTCAAGCCATATTGGAGTTATAATGATGTCAAAACGCTGCAAACCGTTCATTATGGATACATGATGGTAGACCGCATGGTAAGGAATTTGAGTCGTATCGGTAATATAAAGAACGAAACCTCATATTAAGAAAGACACTGCGAGGAAGGAGTCAGAATACAAAATCAGCTGCAGAGGTGGATATCGGAACTTTTATAGAGCGATTAGAGCCCGGAAAATTAACGGTTATGAAACATCAGAGTTAAGGACTAATGACACGATATCTCGTGACCCGGATGCAAACCGAAGAGCATGGGTAGATCACTATAGTAAATTGGCGAGTGAGTGTCTCGGGAAAGGCGCATTATTCTGCAGAGCACCAACATCAAATAGATTCCGTGGAAAGTTTGTTTCACGCCCAAAGCTATTGAAACGTAAACAGTGTATGTCGGGAACATATTACGGAAGCTGAAGAATTGAATGTTTTGAAAGATATGAGGAATAGAAAAGCGGCAGAGCACGACCACATAGTAGTAGAGCATATTCGATTTGGAGGCAAACACCTGGTAAAAGCAATAACTCTTTTGTACAATTTTGCCTTTGAAATAGAAGATTATCCACCATGCTTCAAGCACGGAATTGTTATTTCTCTCTTTAAAGGTGAAAAAAAGATGAACTGTATATGAACAATTATCGAGATAGCACATTGACATCTGTACTACAAAACTTGTTTGGAAAGATGATATATAGCAGGATCTCGAGGATGAACTTTCCACACCGATTACAACAAGGTTTTACGCCAAATTACGGAAGTATTACCGCAGCCTTCACTGTAAAATAAGGCGTGTGTCATCATCTTGATCGAAATACAAGATTTTTTGCTGCATTTCTAGACAACGAAAAGGCTTTTGATAGTGTCTGGACCAATGAACTTCTTTTAAGCTCTACAGCATTAACGGCAAAATCTGGCGTATACTTCAAAGGAGTGACGTCATTTGTACTGAACGAGGGCAAAACCGGAAATCCATACAAGGTTGAACAGGGCGTCCGTCATGGTCATACTCTCTCCGCGGGCCCTTTTTCTGGTTATGATCAACGACCTCATTTGCGAACTTGATTTTTCTGGTTTTGGTCTTTCGCCCACGATCTACATATACCAGCGGTATTCTTATCGGACGAAATTCTACTGATGGATTATTCCGTTGGTAACCTACAGTGCCTTTTAGACATTGTTTTTGCTTTCTTGTGTAAGCGGCGCTTGAATTATAATGCCTTTAAGAGTAAAGCTCAATAGTAATGTTCCACAACGGTCCCACAAAGCGCACTAAATGTTCCACAACGTCACACAAAGCGCACTGAGCTGGTCGAATGTTGTTTGTGACAGCAGCGTAAATCTTGGGTCATCACTTAGGAATACTCAGGCATTACATTCACATCTTATCTGCATTGTGACCAAAGCACTAAAGGTGTACAGTGGATAGACCAACAACATCAACAAAGCACTAAAGAGGTATGGTGGATAGACTCACAACATCAACGAGGAACTAAAGAGGTACGGTGGATAGACCCTCAACATCAACGAGGAACTAAAGAGGTATGGTGGATAGACCCACAACATCAACGAGGAACTAAAGAGGTATGGTGGATAGACCCTCAACATCAACGAGGCACTAAAGAGGTATGGTGGATAGACCCACAACATTAACAAAGCACTGAAGAGGTACAGTGGATAGACCCACAACATCAACGAGGAACTAAAGAGGTACGGTGGATAGACCCACAACATCAATGAGGAACTAAAGAGGTACAGTGGATAGACCAACAACATCAACAAAGCACTAAAGAGGTACAGTGGATAGACCCACAACATCAACGAGGAACTAAAGAGGTACGGTGGATAGACCCACAACATCAACGAGGCACTAAAGAGGTACGGTGGATAGAACAACAACATCAACGAGGAACTAAAGAGGTACGGTGGATAGACCCACAACATCAACGAGGAACTAAAGAGGTTCGGTGGATAGAACAACAACATCAACGAGGCACTAAAGAGGTACGGTGGATAGACCCTCAACATCAACGAGGCACTAAAGAGGTACAGTGGATAGACCCACAACATCAACGAGGCACTAATGAGGAACGGTGGATAGACCCACAACATCAACGAGGAACTAAAGAGGTACGGTGGATAGACCCACAACATCAACGAGGCACTAAAGAGGTACGGTGGATAGACCCTCAACATCAACGAGGCACTAAAGAGGTATGGTGGATAGACCCACAACATCAACGAGGAACTAAAGAGGAACGGTGGATAGAACAACAACATCAACAAAGAACTAAAGAGGTACAGTGGATAGACCCACAACATCAACGAGGAACTAAAGAGGAACGGTGGATAGACCCACAACATCAACGAGGAACTAAAGAGGTACGGTGGATAGACCCACAACATCAACGAGGCACTAATGAGGAACGGTCGATAGACCCACAACATTAACGAGGCACTAAAGAGGTACGGCGGATAGAAACAACAACATCAACGAGGAACTAAAGAGGTACGGTGGATAGACCCTCAACATCAACGAGGAACTAAAGAGGTACGGTGGATAGACCCACAACATCAACGAGGAACTAAAGAGGTACGGTGGATAGACCCACAACATCAACGAGGAACTAAAGAGGTATGGTGGATAGACCCTCAACATTAACGAGGAACTAAAGAGGTACTGTGGATAGACCCACAACATCAACGAGGCACTAATGAGGTACGGTGGATAGACCCACAACATCAACGAGGAACTAAAGAGGTACGGTGGATAGACCCACAACATCAACGAGGAACTAAAGAGGTATGGTGGATAGACCCTCAACATTAACGAGGAACTAAAGAGGTACTGTGGATAGACCCACAACATCAACGAGGAACTAAAGAGGTACGGTGGATAGACCCACAACATCAACGAGGCACTAAAGAGGTACAGTGGATAGACCCACAACATCAACGAGGCACTAAAGAGGCACAGTAGATAGAACCACAACATCAACGAGGCACTAATGAGGAACGGTGGATAGACCCACAACATCAACGAGGAACTAAAGAGGTACGGTGGATAGACCCACAACATCAACGAGGAACTAAAGAGGTACGGTGGATAGACCCACAACATTAACGAGGCACTAAAGAGGTATGGTGGATGGACCCACAACATCAACGAGGAGCTAAAGAGGTACGGTGGATAGAACAACAACATCAACGAGGAACTAAAGAGGTACGGTGGATAGACCCACAACATCAACGAGGAACTAAAGAGGTACGGTGGATAGACCCACAACATCAACGAGGAACTAAAGAGGTACAGTGGATAGACCAACAACATCAACGAGGAACTAAAGAGGTACGGTGGATAGACCAACAACATCAACGAGGAACTAAAGAGGTACGGTGGATAGAACAACAACATCAACGAGGAACTAAAGAGGTACAGTGGATAGACCAACAACATCAACGAGGAACTAAAGAGGTATGGTGGATAGAACAACAACATCAACAAAGCACTGAAGAGGTACAGTGGATAGACCCACAACATCAACGAGGCACTAAAGAGGTACAGTGGATAGACCCACAACATCGACGAGGCACTAAAGAGGTACGGTGGATAGACCCTCAACAATAACGAGGCACTAAAGAGGTATGGTGGATAGACCCACAACATCAACGAGGAACTAAAGAGGTACGGTGGATAGACCCACAACATCAGCGAGGAACTAAAGAGGTACGGTGGATAGACCCACAACATCAACGAGGAACTAAAGAGGTATGGTGGACGGTGGATAGAACAACAACATCAACAAAGCACTGAAGAGGTACAGTGGATAGACCCACAACATCAACGAGGCACTAAAGAGGTACGGTGGATAGACCCACAACATCAACGAGGCACTAAAGAGGTACGGTGGATAGACCAACAACATCAACGAGGAACTAAAGAGGTACGGTGGATAGACCAACAACATCAACGAGGAACTAAAGAGGTACGGTGGATAGAACAACAACATCAACAAAGCACTAAAGAGGTACAGTGGATAGACCCACAACATCAACGAGGCACTAAAGAGGTACAGTGGATAGACCAACATCAACGAGGCACGGTGGATAGACCAACAACATTAAAGAGGCACTAAAGAGGTACGGTGGATAGACCCTCAAAATTAACGAGGAACTAAAGAGGTACGGTGGATAGACCCACATCAACGAGAACTAAACAGGTATGGTGGATAGACCCACATCAACGAGGCACTAAAGAGGTACGGTGGATAGAACAACAACATCAACGAGGAACTAAAGAGGTACGGTGGATAGAACAACAACATCAACAAAGCACTAAAGAGGTATGGTAGATAGACCCTCAACATCAACGAAGAACTAAAGGTGTACGGTGGATAGACCCACAACATCAACGAGGCACAAAAGATGTTAGACCCATATTGGTGAGAGGGGTTGGTTTTTTTGTAATCCGCTGCACGCTAGGCATCACCATCGTTGAGAGGAAAGATCGTTTGTTAGAGATAGTAAAATAGAGTACGTATGCAAATTTTGATACAAATGCACAAATATATGCATATATATGTATTAAAGACATATTAACATATAAAACATATCAACAACGTGCATGTACATGAAGGGAAATGTACGCCTTTTTTATTAAGAGGTACACAAGATGTACATATTAACAAGGAACGTCAGATGTACATATCGACGTGATGAGATGCATGTTGTGTACATGATGACGATTTTAATATTTACATGTATATAAATAAGATATATTCCTGTACAATATACGAGCATACATATAGATACGCCTGTTTTACATGTGATCCAGTCATATTGTACAGAGTGGGACATTTTATCAATGTATCTGTGATTACAGATAAATGTTATATTAAATAGTGAAGATAAATGACACTCCCGGGAGTACAGAATGCATATTTAAACACTAATGAACACAGTATCGATTTACTTAGCAACAATACCGTAGAGAATATTGTGTCAGTTCAAAACTATTACTGTCGATATCATTTCGTTTCTTTGTGAAGTATTATTACAGACCGTGAATCGGTAGATAGAGTAGGTTCTGTTATTACACAGAAATTGATGTTTTATCGGGTATTCTGATACACCTGACGTTGTGACAGAGAAATATTAATAATCTTGTAATATATATATAATGCAGGCAGTCACGTGACTGTTAGCCAGTAATTGTCACCCCGTGTTACGGACATCACGGTCAATACAGACGTTTATTGTACTGAAATTGACATTTATTTATCAACCCAACATCACTTTGGTTTTCCCTAACGTCAAAACAAATGCATAATTCCCCCTCGCAGATAAAGAACTCGTATATCAAACAGAATTATGATGGCGGGATTTGTGCACAAGCGTTATGTACGCTTCGTGTATTTTAATTAAGTTAAATTCTCTCGAGATTTGTATGATATGTATAACGCCGATAATAATTATGCTGCATCCTTTATTATATAGCGAACCAAGGCATTTTTGATGATACCCCAATCAGGGTCGTGGTATTTCATGTGGTATGAACGTAAATCGATATTAGTTATTGACCCGTCTCTGTGGACGAAGTTTTTTTTTTCAAGTATAAGCTACTACGACATTTAGTCGAGTCCGTGCACATCCACTGCCTTAATTAAGAACTGTATGTACATATTTGTTTAGTCGTGAGTACATAATACTAGACGGTTTTTTGTGTAAGTTTATTAGAAAAATAATTCTCCCAGTCGCAACGTATGTTGTCGCAATAATTGTCTCTTTCCTCCCCTGGGTCACTGTTGCACGACTAGGTTTTTAAAACACCTTTCTCCTTGTCATCGATGCTAGATCTCCCCTCACCCCTCTTCCTTGCCTCAACCTGTGTAAATCTTGCCCTTCACTGTTTGCTCATACGCAAGATGAAGCAACTTATTTGTCAACTGATTAATTTGAGTTGTTTGAGACTATTTCGCTTCTGCATCCCAGTTCATTGACGTCTGCGTACACATAATACGCGCCTGGGCGAGTTTACGCTTCCACTTCAGCGGTGTACACTCCTTCAATCTTCAGCGCATTTTTGTATTCTCTCCCACAAATTCTACACCCATTTTAATTACACTTGTCCTTCTCGCAATAGGCGCTGTCCTAAATCCTTTCATCGCGCCCTCTGACCCCAAATTCCCTCAACAAATATACACCACGTCAAGAAACACTAACTCTTTTGGGTGTCATTTATTCATATTTTCGATGTTTCAAGTAGCAGTCTAATTACAGAAGACGATATGAACAAATATCCAAATGGTTTGTTGAAAGCCTGGTTAAATCTTATGGGATTCGACATTACAGAACCACAAGGAATTATTGTGTTTTACAAGAATAAGTTTCATTATTCCGCATTGTAGTGTTAATAACACGTCGAGGAAAATGTTCAGCACATTTTGTGTGAAAATGAATTTAGAAAATGGCGCTAGATTTGGCGATAACTGGTCATGAATGTGTTGTAATTGTTCTCAGATATCTATTACCATGGTAGATGTATATTCTGACGAAGCCATACTTAATCCATCTTCCTCCCCCCCACCCTGTTCCCCCTCCGCCCCCTCCTTCCCTCTCCTTCCACCGCCCCATTCATATCTACAACGATCATTTTATGGAAACCAGTATGTTTTCTATTATTGAGGTTTTAGGAATATCAAATTCGTTTTTGCGGGATCTTTCATTTTTGCATTCATATCCCAAATATTATTGTTCAAACTGTTGCATGTGTAACAAAAAGAATCAGTGCGGACATTGTACATATATTGATTTTACTGTTCCGTTTTTAATCGAACGAGGACTTCCGGTCTCCGCCCAAACCATTAGATAAGACACGAACAACTTGCTATTCATAACGTCACGGACGATTGGACTGATATTTATAGATCCAATATAGCATTAATGTCCACTCATACCTATTGATAGCGCTAAACATTTATGGTCTGGTCTCTGACAGATAGACAGAAGGACGACAATTTCATATCTTACACAATTTTGAAGAGCTAAAAAACAAAAACAAAAATCTGCTCAGCTGTATTTTCGTAAAAAGCTATTCCAAGGCCATTAGAGAAATTTACTGATATATTAACTTTAATGCCCAGTTTCAAAATATACGATTTTGTGGACATACCAGTGACGAACTCTTAGCTACTTTGCGAAAATAGAACACAGACACAAACACTTCTCTCTGAATATTAATGATATTTACCGTTTATATTATACCACGTGACCTGTTTCACTGTGGTTATAGGATTTTAATGCCAAACCAAGCAACAAGGAGGCACCGTATTTCCGAGTTGACAAGTTGTGAGCTTTCCACATGAAGGTGCGAACTTTTCTTTCGGAGGACATAGCCCCAACTTGATATAATCGGTTTTTGTGATCTCATTAAAGAAACGTAGGCGACAAAAGTCGATTGAGCCTCCAACTCTCTTTAAATATCTTCAATTAAGAAACAGATTCTCACCAATCCCGAATTCATATCTTACTAATAGGGACACTCATATCGACTTATAAGGTGTTTCAATAAGCTGTACTAATCAATGACAGGATGGGAAGATGTTGTAATATTATTTTGCTAAAGCCATTACAAAGCACAAAAATAACTTCTGTGTAAAGATTGTTTTTTTTTCGAAAGTTCAAATTTCCGTTGTCTTTGTATTTTTCTAATGTTTTCATAGAAGTCAACATATAGATGATCGTTTTCTCTGTATTTTTTAAAATTATTAACTTTTTTTTGTAATTTCATTTGTTCCTGGACTTAGGAAGGGTTAGTATGTTGGTAGGCCTAGGAAGGGTTAGAATGTTGGTAGACCTAGGAAGGGTTAGAAAGTTGTTAGACCTAGGAAGGGTTAGAATGTTGGTAGGCCTAGGAAGGGTTAGAATGTTGGTAGACCTAGGAAGGGTTAGAAAGTTGTTAGACCTAGGAAGGGTTAGAATGTTGATAGACCTAGAAAGGGTTAGAATGTTGTAAGACCTAGGAAGGGTTAGAATGTTGTTACACCTAGGAAGGGTTAGAATGTTGTTAGACCAAGGAAGGGTAAGAATGTTGTTAGGCCTAGAAAGTGTTATGATGTTAATAGACCTAGGGAGGGTTAGAATGTTGTTAGACCTAGGAAGGGTTAGAATGTTGTTAGACCTAGGAAGGGTTAGAATGTTGTTAGACCAAGGAAGGGTAAGAATGTTGTTAGGCCTAGAAAGTGTTATGATGTTAATCGACCTAGGGAGGGTTAGAATGTTATTAGACCTAGGAAGGGTTAGAATGTTGTTAGGCCTAGGAAGGGTTAGAATGTTGTTAGACCTAGGAAGGGTTAGAATGTTGTTAGACCAAGGAAGGGTTAGAAAGTTATTAGACCTAGAAAGGGTTAGAATGTTGGTAGAACAAGGAATGGTTAGAAAGTTGGTAGACCAAGGAAGGGTTAGAATGTTGTTAGGCCTAGGAAGGGTTAGAATGTTGTTAGACCTAGGACGGGTTAGAATGTTGTTAGACCTAGGAAGGGTTAGAATGTTGTTAGACCTAGGAAGGGTTAGAATGTTGTTAGACCTAGGAAGGGTTAGAATATTTTTAGACCTAGGAAGGGTTAGAATGTTGGTAGAACAAGGAATGGTTAGAAAGTTGGTAGACCTAGGAAGGGTTAGAATGTTGTTAGACCTAGGAAGGGTTAGAATGTTGTTAGAACAAGGAAGGGTTAGAATGTTGTTAGACCTACGAAAGGTTAAAATGTTGTTAGGCCTAGAAAGTGTTATGATGTTAATATACCTAGGAAGGGTTAGAATGTTGTTAGACCTAGAAAGGGTTAGAATGTTGTTAGAACAAGGAAGGGTTAGAATGTTGATATACCTAGGAAGGGTTAGAATGTTGGTAGACCTAGGAAGGGTTAGAATGTTGATAGACCGACCTAGGAAGGGTTAGAATGTTGTTAGACCTAGGAAGGGTTAGAATGTTGATAGACCTAGGAAGGGTTAGAAAGTTATTAGACCTAGGAAGGATTAGAAAGTTGGTAGACCTAGGAAGGGTTAGAATGTTGATAGACCGACCTAGGAAGGGTTAGAATGTTGTTAGACCTAGGAAGGGTTAGAATGTTGGTAGACCTAG